GCGTAGTGTATCACAAAACCAAGAACCCATTCGGAGCGAAAATTTGTATGAATATTAGTTTTCAGCTGCTCTTATACATCATTAAAGTAAAATCTTAGGGGGATCAATAGTTTTGTAGTTCGAATTTTAGTGACGTCATATGAAAACCAGCTATAGTAAATGTGCCACAGACAGGAATCGTTACGGTTTTCAGCGCAGTTCGTGACACTTTCAATCAACACTCATACCAATGTTTGTGAAATCTCATCATATTCACCGCACTCGATTAAATTTCGTCGCAATAGCATTGGTTTGAACATCTTTAAGTGACCAGTCCTAACTTTAAATTTAGTTCTCCTTCAAGTTAACGCAATCCACATTACCTGTGTACATAATTAATTAAGAACTAATTCGCACTTGCCAAACCACCTAGCGCGCAAACAGTGTCACAGTATCAGTTTCAAAAACGCCATAGTCACACCATTGGTCAAAGGTGCATGTAAATACGACAGAGAGTTGATGGCTCTGAAAAGCACAAAGCAGGTCACAGTTAAACGGCGCCCCTAGAAACTGGACACGGTAACGAAGAGAAAGCAGGTAAGCGTAACAATGATCGACCAGTCCTCTAATCTCTGCGCTTCAGGCTTGGTAAAAGTTACTGCAAGCACAGGCAAATCAAAAGCCTAGTTTTTACGTCTTTTTACGATAACTACAACATATGTCAGCTACTACCAAAACATTTATTTTTTCATCAGTAGCATCGTTTCGTTGAGATGAGTTGCAATAAGCACTTAAGTAAACACAAGTTTTGGTACAATAACAGCATCCGTTTAACCGATCTTAAGGGCAGACCCTTTTGATTTACGAGGATGGCTTATATTTACGTAAACAACGCAACATGCTTTCCATCATTGCGAAGCTGAATTAATGGACTTGCAACACGATACACCGGACTAACCCGTTACCCATTTCATTATTTTACTGTATATGCGTTCAATAGGCGTGCCATTTCACGTTTCTGCAGATGGATAGCAGAAGATCAGATGTTAGGTTTGAAATAACTGAATTGATTATAAGACGATCATTGCGCATTTTGTTTCGCGCAGTTTGTTTACGCATATCGCTTCTCACAAGAGGTATATTCGACCGCAGTGTGTTCTATATCTCGCCAAAACAAACACCGCACGGCCCTCGTGAGTTGTGTTCTCGTAAGGTAAGTTTAGTTCTTCGTCAAACAACGCGCTTTTTCACCGCACGTGTGCCAGTTCCAGATCAAGACATGATCACCGATCGATACATCTACAAAAGCAAACTGGCCAATGCGCACAGGGAATGTGACCCCTCAGCTTGCACTACAAGAACATCAGCATAAGGAACCGATACAGGCAGCAACGATATTTATAAAATTTTCTCAATCTTTTTTCTGGAATATCCCACTCGAACCCCCAGGATCCCATTCCGTGGGAACAATGTGTAGCAATCGGAGGGGGCATGTGACATAATTTCGCTACAAGTATTCGCTGACTGAGCAGGAAACAGACTGAAGGGAACAGAATGTGAGAGCTCCGTACTTCCGTCCTCAAGAATCAACATCCTTGAAGTTTTGGAAAACAAAAAATGCGAACAATCCCAGGCCTCCATTTAGAAAATTCCAGGAATTGAATCATTAAGGCAAACGACTGCAGAAGCTGCAAATTTCTTTTCGTTTCTGCACGAATGGTCATTAGTACGTTATTGTCGAGTTAGGAAAAGTGAGAAAGTGACGTTGTCTGTTTGTGCACGTGGTTCGCCATCATACTTCCGTGAAAGACTCGTACTTCCGTAAGTCGCCTTTGATATAAAGCCGACATAAACAACATAGGTCAGGTTGTAATCCGCTTAAACTTGTCGAATTTTGATCATTTTTCCCTTTTCATGCCCCCCCCCCCAACCCCTCCCCAGCCCCCGGCTAAAATCTATGCCGTTCTTTAATTTAAAACCAATTTTAAAGATTGGTCACCCCGTTAACAGGGCCACCTCTCAGCTTTCTGGCCCGATCAAAAGCTCAGTCAGTCATTTTCAGTTTTTTAAAGAACCCCTTTAATATTGCCACCCCGTCAATACAGCCAGATTTTTGTGGCCCTTTGGTGACCGGACTAACAGGTTTCCATTGTACGTTCAACAGTGTGACGGAGTCACGATGGAAGTCATTGATAGCGTGACCTACAACATTGCACGCAATTCTTGGTGCTAATTGTTTTCCTGTCAGCTCCTAAGTGGCAATTAGACTTTGATTTAATATGCATCAAAAACGTTTTCCCGTTACCAAGATTGACAGGCATTATCTGAATCAAAAGAACAGAGCTCTGCCAAATCAGTTTTGGAAATTTTGAAGTTTAAATGGGGGTCTTTGGTAAGAAAATGATTTGAGCCGGCGAATAATTAGTGCGATATCTGATTTAATTTCATTGTAATGCAGTACTATAACGTGTGAAAACATCAGGTATTTACATAAACATTGACAGAAGTTCTTTAGATGTCTATCTGATTGACCAAAACATTTGTGAAGAAAATCTGTAAAGATTTTAAGACTTTGAAGAATTTCGTCGCATTTCGTCATCTTCACCGCATTCCTGACTTGGTACTTTTGACCAAACATTTAATAAAACCACATCAAAGTTACTGAGTTTATTCTCAATACCTGTTTCGTCATTCGTATCACTTCAGGATATTTGCATATGAAAGGCCGCTCCACAAGTCACTGAAGTCAGGAGTGTGTTTTGAAGTCGCTTTTTGAGTGCCATGGCTTCCTCTCTTGAACCACTTGCACAGGCGACAAATCGCACTCTTAACAGCCGAGAACTCCGAGAAAAATACAACAGCTACATCCATGCAGACCCTGCCCTCGTTGAATCAAGAAGATGGATAGAGGTAAGTTTTCTATGCTTCACAGCTAGTTACATTATTTGCATATCTGTTTGCCGCGCAGTCGTTAATCACTTCTTCATCGTTCCATGCTGCCCAAGGTGTAATTTGTTTGCTTTACAGGAGGTGACGAGAAGAGAATTTAAGAGCGACAACTTTCGAGAATCATTGGCAGATGGCATTCTTCTTTGCGAGTAAGTGCAAACAGTAAAGCTTGTTTACAATTGATATTAGTTTTCTGAAAAGTTCGGGAAATAATGCAAACGCGCGGTTATTTTAAGCTTTTGATTCCGTATCGAGGTTTAATTAGTGATTGTATTTGTGGTAAATTGGCGTCAAAGCTACTAAGACGGACTCGGAAGCGTTCTTGTAGCGTGAATCACTGCTTGCACGTTCGTAGCTTTTTTTTTTTTTATCACGCTAGCTTTGTTTTGCTTTTGTTACTGCGCTGCCGATGCGACTAGAACGGACGATCGCATTTTAATGTGCTTGAAATGAATGATTGTAGTAGGTAGCTGTAAAAGAGGCCTCTAACAAAATAAAATATGATCATAATTTAAATAAGGGTAATTTCAACAAAAGGCAGAACAGGCCAGAAAAACTTAATACAACGATATATCAAACCAGGAGGATCGATCAAACTCAACTGTAGGACCACCTACTGCGGAGTCGCCACGTATCAACCTGTGTACCTCGGGTTGAAAAGTCTGTTCTTCGTATCTTTTACAAATCAAAGAAAACTGCAAAAGAAGGATGGATGTTCCAAACAATTTACCCCCCAAAATCAACGTTAACCAGTCACTATATAATATTTTGTGTATTAATTAAGACACTTGTCATTCGTAATGTTCAAAATGCTAGTTTTGATTGATTATTGTAGTCTGATATTGTAATGGCGACGATAATTTTTTTTAACGTCAGTTGACTTTCCATACTTCACTTCGAAAGAAACCTGACAAATACACACAGCGTATATGCATTACATCTAACTGGTTTATAATGTTAACTTGATGATCTGTACGTAAGCCAGTTAAACTTGGTGAACCTGTTTTCACCCGCTGAAGAACTCTTGTGTCCAGTTAAAGCTCCTTAACAAACCCACGTCAGGTTTATTTTTTAGCGTCGTCCAGTTTTCAATCATGAATTGCGTCCAAACATTGTCATGGCACATTTTTTCGGTGATGTGAGTTTGCCTTCAATTAAGTCCTCAGGTTAAGATGCAAATTATTACCCAAATCAAGACTGAAGTGACAGAAGTAATACGTAATTAACATTTATCTAAATTCCACCCGTAACCGTCCCGGTCTATCAGACGTCTGGTGTTGACAATCATTAAATTATTCAATAAACGCGCAAATTAAAACTCGTCAGTTATTGCATGCAAAATTAGAAGCTCTTCAGTCTTATTGGCTTTTATAGACAGCATTATTTGGGAGAATTTGATCTTCTGTCAAGACAATGTCATTTCGCGATCAACCTGATGTGCTTGGTTGAACGTATACAGTATTTGGGGGAAAATCAGGTCTCTATTGATTGATGTTCCTCCCACGTAATTCAAAAAGGCGAGCATAACATAACTGAGTACTGCAGCAAAAAGGAAAAGTTAGTATGTGTTGTCGCTGGTGACCAAATGCGACAAGACACTGATGCCCGTACTGCAAGACATGTAATGAAAATTTGTTGACCGACTTGTGCAGTGGAAACGTTCGAGTAAACTCCAAAGTCCTCGTATATATTCGCTTACAGCTTAGCTGGTTCACACGCGTTTTTGCCATTCTTGCGTCACCTTTGCGTAATCATCATGATCCGAAGGCATATATAAGCTTTGTGCGCACGCTGGACAACTCAAGTTAAATTTTCAATCTTTATTTGTATTGGTAATTAAAGGATTTCGAGTACAATTTGGAATCCGAAACAAGCACAAGTAAATATTTTAAAGACTCAAAAATCATTGCACTCAATATTTGAACTTTCTGTACTGCCTGGGATCATGATTGAAGTGCTCTAGACCAATCAACACGCTGACGTTTTTGCATATATATTGTAAATTACGGCCTGTAACATCGTCCAAATAGAGTGGTTTTTTCAATTGAGTGTCGTCAAACCAAAACCAACGTAATCGCTCTAGCCAATCATAAAGGACACAGACAATACAGTAATCCAATGAAAACTCGAAGTAATAACAGGTAGCTGACACGAATTAAAGCACGGGAAAACACGTGCGAGCGAAACATAATTGGTTTTGGTTTTATTTTTGATTGGATGAAAAATTGTCGCGAGTTTTTTTTTAAGCCAATCGCGTAGCATAGTAAGTGCAACACCAAGTACTTTTCGACGTCACTCAAATAAAAACCCCTCTATCCATCACCTGCATCCCGCTAATAGCTAATTACTTTTCAGGTTAATAGAGATTGTTGGAGGCACTTCACTAGGTCGTATAAACCGTCTTCCAACTGCATACGCTGGAATTGTAAGTGTGTTTATGCTATTTTAAAATTTAGGTGTTCACGTTCAAATGAACGATCTTTGACGTCGTCACAGCGTCTTTCTTTAGATGCTGAAATAAACTCTAAAATAAAAGAGTGTAGCAAAAATAGTGTAGCAAATAAGTATCTATTTAGTCAAAGCCGAAACGCGAAGGCTTGAAAAGGAATTCTGGCTGCTGTTGTAAATCTCTTTTTAGTCCGGAGCGAGAAACCCTCAATTATTCTTAACATTTGCGAGACTTAAGAATTTGCGGGTCATTAATTAGAACATGTCGATAGAACAGGTCTTCTCAAACCTTGAGTTAATCAGCCAGGTAAAGAAAATCACAGTGGATTAGCATTTCAAAGCACTTCCTCGCTCAATCCTTTTTTGTGTGTCTGTGTTATATCTAGCTGTTTTGCCCTTACCGTAACCAGACGGATGAAAGACAAAAAGGCAAACTTTTCGAGTGTTTTATTTCCAACTTTTAATGACTATGTATAACTGAAAACACAAGACAGAAGGGTTATGTCACTCATCAAACGTTACCTCTTCCTCAATACACAGGACAACCTTAACTTGTTTTTTAAAGCATGCGAGAGGCTGGGACTGAAGAGGCTTCACCTGTTTGACACCACTGATCTACAAGAAGTGACGTCACGGCGGGGTGAATCAATGTAAGTAACCCCCGGGACACATGGTGTAGTGTTACATGCTGTATTGTTATCTCAATAGTGCTACTGAAACTGCTGTGCACACTGTTGCAGGTCCATGGCAGTTCCAGTGTAAAATGCGCGCCGCCATAGGCACGCCATACGCGCATATAATCTGCGCCATATGTAACTTTGTGACTTTGTATAGGTTTACTTGTAATCTTCTAGTCAAGTCACGAATGTATCAGCAATGTTAAGCAAAATGTTGCGCTGTGCATGCCCAACCGAACCTTTCTTATCGAGGGAACATTTCAGTAACAGAGCCATTCTTCCTCAAACTGACACCTGAAACTCGGACCTGAAAGTATGACGGTTTAATAGATGTATTGTTATTTTTACTAAACGAAACATACCTTAGCTTCTCTCGGAGATTTGTGTTATTTTTCTGCTAGTATTTCAAACTTAATCAAAGTGCACTAGTGGAAATTTAAAATGGCTCATGGCTAGTTTGTCCGCAGTGCTTCCGACCCCCAGTCTAACTGGACTGAATAAGATGAAAATCAATATGATAATGTCACAAAATGTGTAAAATTAACAAATTGACGTCAGTTTTTTATGCGTCTGTCCTCTTATTGATGATAAATTGCGTCATAACATTGTCAAAGTGGCTGTGGAATCACAAGCCGCAGGCGAGTGGTTCCGCAGTAAACTATGGACAGATGCATAAAAAACTGACGTCAATTTGATTTTTACAATAACAAGACCCCAAAATGGTCAAATGCCGGGAATAAATGAGAGGAAAAGACGCCGTAAACTTGACGTAAACAAAGAGAAGTGAATTTTATTCAAAATGACGCGAACATTGACAAATTGTGGATAACGCTATCCCCAGTGACCCCACGGTGAACCGTTATCCTAAAGCACCAAAAGGGAAATAATCACTGCCTATGCGGTGGATTAGACTGTTCATCTCTCGTCCAGTTCTCGCGCGATTCTATCCGCGCGTTCACTACTAACGATGGAATGAAAATAGGAGGAAATAGAAGGCTGTGAACAGTCTACGGTGAATAGCGTAGCTTTTACTGCTTCTCATGCAGTCAGGGTCAGTTTTATCCCACTTATTGAAGTGACGCAAGTTCTGTCATACCAAGAGAAATACCTTTTGCGGGTACCGATGACGTCATACTGTCAGGCCCTGAAATCCGGGCAAATTTGAAATTCCTTTTCGTAGAGGTAACTGCTATAGCCTTGATGTCACGCTGTTATTGAGCTCAGAATTTTTTAAACAAAATTTGCAAAGTGAAAAGAAATATTGGCTTCATAGGTCAGGTTCGCACTGTGATGAACTAATTGTTTAGTTCACTTCATTCAGGAAACGATTTTTCAAACTTCAAAATGAGAAACCACGGCGGAAGTCTAAATAAGCTGCATTGTGTTACTCACGTATTTTACATTTCCGTAACAATGCGTAAAATAACCCTATTCATTTCACGCCTTTTGTCTTTGCTCATTTTGGAATGCGCGGATTGTTCTAGTTGTTGCCGTGGTCTTGTATTGGATTTAAAATCTTTAGATATTCCGCCGAAGTGTCGTAGCGCGTTCTTTTCCTCTGGGATTTGTTTACGCGTCTTGCGCTGTGAATCAGTGACCTTCAGTTAATATTACTTTGCGTCGGCTCGAAAAGGTAGGTTATGGAAATGTTTCGTTTATTTACCTTCCGACAAATATGTGTTTGTATTACTGAGTCGCTGTCTGCTAGATGTCACAGTGTCATGTGAATCGAACGAGGGTTCGCGCGACAGTTATTTATGCGACGCTCAGATCCCCTTCTACGCTTTGTTAACTTGGAAACTTGCGTTTGTCGCTGATTTCGAGTCGTTTCTTTCCGATTTCAGAACTTCAAGAGCAAAAGAAACACAACGAAGGCTACAGAATGTAAGTAACAGTTAGAATTTACTCAAAACCATTAGCTTAATCTTTTTATCCATCGAATATATTCATAATCTCTGAGCTGACATCAAAATATATATACCGTCTGCATGGCGACTTGAAATTTGAAGTTTTGTATTTGTTTGACGTTTCCTTCTTCGTATCCAAATGGATAACTGCTTATTCGATCGATTGATTAAGGAACAGACAATCTATTTCCAACGAATAACAGCGATCGGGTTTTGATTTTAGATAATCAGGATCATGGCAACATGTTTGAATTTGCTCGTGAAAGTTATAAGCAAAATAAGGCATCTTTGAAAGCTTTTAGTTCACCGATCGATTTTCAGATTTGTTGATTCTACTGGTCTTGTCTGATGACAATTGCGTTTCTTCGTAGTCAGGTTTTCACTGGCGCGACGACATAAAGAATTGCTTATCCCAAACGTTACAAGCTAAAGCCGATTTCAATGGAAACATCTAATGGACTCGATTTCTTCCTGTAGCCCCTTTTAATACCAGTTTGCTTTTAATCTTGGTCAGCCGAAATTAAAACGGTGTTCAAATTAAATATTTCATTTCGCGGACGAGAATTTTGGAGGACTGAAGCGAAAGGTTAGACCTCCAAATTGTGCGCCATTTTGAATAGTTTCTTGTTTGCTAAGTACGCGGGAATAATTCCTTTGATGCCGAGGCAACGAACCGACACCGTGGGCTCAATATCGTCACCATCGTTGAATAACACGCGGTAATATCAGTAAAGAACCAGGAGATAGCGACATTGATACGAAAAGGTTGACCGCCACTCTCCTCACTGAGAATGAATATAAGTGAAAAGTGGAAACTATTCTGTTTATTGCACGCAGAGTGTTTTAATTGAACACTGTGACATATTGGCGCATCTGGACGTCAAAAAATCATTTTATGCAATTGCAGTCTTCCGGTTTTGGCCACCCTGATCGTCATCAGAACGTCATTTTGTGTTATTGCCTTCTACCTGATTGTGGGCTAGTGCGCTTGTACCACAACTTTGTCAAATCAATCTGACGTTGACTGCAGTAAAAATCTAACTTTAATAACCAGACTGATCTTGATGCAAATTTGTAGTCCTTGTGGCGCGCGGTTGCCGGGGATACAAGTGGTCTCTTGTCTGGTTCTGACCGAGCGAAAGGCCAAAACAACTTCCTGCGAGAAAGCATAAACTGCTTTATCGCAAAAGTATTCCTTCTGGCTACTGACAATACCCACCGAGAGCCAGACTAACTCTGGGAGACTCGAGACGTTTGCTTTGGCTTATCTTCTCACTAATTTCCGATTTATCTCAGATCGCTTCTGAAGAAAACGTGACATACTGAGATGCGTTGATATTGTATTCTCTATCGCAGGTCGCGATCACAATATTGTGGTTAGCCAAAGCTGCCCGGAAGCAAGGTTATCAAGGGCCAGCTCTTGATGTCAGTTGTTTTAACCATCTAATTCCGGTAAGTAGCAGTTTGGAAGCGCCTGGTTTATTACACTTTAGGGACTGACTTTTTTTTTGAGAGGATGGGGTGGGGGGGGGGGATTGGGAAATTTTGGGGGGCATGTATGTTTTTCTCATCTTTAGGTTGTGCACGACTTTTTGGGTGGGCAATAGCTTATGTAAAAATTTTTTTAAAGTCAAACGCAGGACCTGGACAGTAGAAAGCACTTGCTCGGTTTTTTTCCTACAGCTCCCCTTGCACGATTCTTTTTCAGGAATTTTTTTTTGGAAATTGCCCAACCTCTTCCCCCACCCCTCAATAAAATAATGGTCCGTCCCTTAGTTTATGAATATTGTCTTCATTGATGCTATATACACCTTATAAGAGGAATATAAACGTTTAGGGGAAACAGAACTTTTCCGGTCCCAAGATACATCTTTGGTATCAAAGTTTTAAAATAGTCGGCGTGCTGGTTTTGAACCTAAGGGCCCAGGATCAAAGCTTACTGACATGTTGTCTTTAGGAGGCGCATTTTCACAGCAAGAAGCAGCGAGGAACACGGAAGAGACACTCATTGGGGGATCTGGAAACTAAATCACGTGGTTCTGAAAATATTCCACAAAGAAAGAGGGACCGAGTGTTTGATAAGATCGACATTAAAGACAGAAAGGAGAAATTTCAAAGTCTTGAAAAGGAAGCAAAGCAGGTAACAATCATTTAAGTCTGCTTATTGGCTTAATTTATTGATTTTTGTCATAGTATCTTTTATACATTGTAACTGGCAAAAAAGTCGATCACTGAACTTTCTTCAGGGGCGGATCAGGGCGGGAGGGGGGTTCGGTCGAGCCTCCTAAATAAAAAAAAGATGAGATATTATGACACGCTGACTTTGCCTCAATGCCGGAATTCCCATTCCCGACGATCTCAGTTTGAAACATTTTCCGGGGAAGATGCTCCCGGACCCCGCCAAAGGGGACTGAGGGGACCGTCTTTGGAGGTCCCTATCTCAAACCCCATCTCTAAAATCCTGTATCCGCCCCATTTCTTAGAGATGCAACTGATTTTTTTACAACGCAACATGAGGACATTTAAAATGACCTAGGCGTCTTTGTATGTAGGTTTTTATTTTCCATTAGCTCAATTTGACTTTTGCCATATACATACAGGAATCTGCGGCTTTAGATTTAAATAGACGAAGATCGACTGGAGGGATTCTAAAAAGACAAGAGGAGGAGAGGATACGGCGCTATAAAGATAACAATCAACTCAAATCTAATATGCCAGATCCAAAGTTTCACGAAAAAAAAGAATTGTTCAACCGGCGAGATCACGTAGTGAGTATTACTAGTGATAAAATTTGACGTTTTAGATTCGCGCGTATTTTGGAGAAATATTTTATAAAAGCAATTAAGGTAATTCCTCTGAAATAAAAGTGACAATAGAGTTTGGTTCAAACTTTGTCCACTGAATATTTGTCATATTATAACTTCAATTTTGAAATAAAAAAGGGGGGTGCCC